TGCTCTTCACTACAAGAAATCTGAGAGATCGAAATCGAGACTCATGTCCAGAAGGTAAGCTTTTGCTTAAAATGTTAATTATTAATTTGATGTTTTTGCTAATTTCTCTGTGTTTTTGTTTGTGGATTTGAAAGAACTTGAGTTTCAAAATTCAATTGTTGAATCTAATAAAAAGAAAATGGTGTATGTTTTTGTCAATCTGTGTGTTTGGCTATTGTGTTTGAGTCGTTTACAACTACTAGAAAAATAAGTACATAACATTAAGAAATCCATTGGCTTCTAAAACATCACTTTTTTGCCTTCTTAAGTCGGTTTACCAAACAAATCTCTCCATCCATTTCCTGTTCCAGTTGTATACTCTAATAAAATTGCAATAAGTATTTTAGTTTTGACTGACATCTAAGGTACTCAACATGCCATTCCATCAAAATCAAGGTTGAACTGTGAACATAGGGTTTTGATTAAAAGTTCTTCTATAGCAGAGTTGAACATTGGGTTATTAGTATGCTGCAATACTTTTGTTTATGTGTATTGGCTACTGTGTATATGAATTTATGATTTGTGTGTTTGGCTAGTCACTAGTGGCTACTAACCAAATGCCAAAATGGTCAATGGTTTTGTCAACAATTTGGCTACTGTGTATATGGTCTATGTTTTTTTAGTGTTTTTATCATAGATAGTTTTTGATACTCCTATTCCTCCACTTGAAGAAGTTGTTTTGCATTAAATATCATTATTTGTTGGTCCTGTAAGGGTCTACAAGAATATAAACAGTTTGTAGAAGGGGGGATGAATACAAACACAGTATTTTCAAATTTAAAATATATATTGATAGAGAAGATCAATACATATTTTACAAGATTGTTTGCGGAAAGATAAGATAATAAAAACCTATCTAAACAATCTTTGGTTACACACAAAGCTTTAACAAATATAAGAAAAGAGATTGCTAAAAGAAAGATCCTTTACTTAAGCTAGAAGATGCTTGAAGTAAGAATAAGGTTAGAGAGAGATGTGCGCTCTCTGCATGGAGAAGAAACACTTCTATTTATACCCAGTGCATTAAATGATCATTTAATGCAATATGGTAGGTTTAGAATGCGTGTCGAACCTTAAGAGGAAGGTTTGTCCTTTGCTACAATGAATAGTACAAAAGCACTATTTCTGAACAGACATCCTTACCTAAAGTTGGTGGACAAAGAGTCGACTAATCGGCTCCGTACCGTACTAACTTTTGTAAGGGTATGGGTTTGTCCTTTGCGTGCATAAGGACAAGCCAACAACAATCGTGCTAAGCAAGCTTCCTTTGATTGCTGAATGTTGGAATGACATGGAGGTCTCATCATCATTCGCTGAAGCTAGAGCAGTCTTCACACATATGTAGATAGGCTTGTAATCACTGAATATCGCTTCAGATCACGTACTCGTCGGTCTCTAATCTTCAGTTTCAGTCTTCGACGTTTGCTGAAGGTTCTTTGGTGTGAGTGTTGTCTTCTTGAAGTATTGTTGTCTCTGATAGATTTACAATGCAAGTTCTTCAGCGATCACTGAACATACTCAGTGATGATCGCTGGAACTGAAAATACAGAAACACAAATACTACGTGAAAGATAAAAGGGATTATCATCAAATCACTGAGAGAGAGGATGTATTGTATGCAATTATACTTTTGATGATAAAGAAAACATTTGTTTGAGATTTGTCCATGACTCTGTTCATATGGAGGGCCCATTTTCTATCGCTAGACCAGGGCCCATAAAATGTCAGGAATGGGTCTGTTTACCAGACAACCATATTTCATCCTGCATCATATCATACAGAGCTTCTTCATTATTTTGACCACTTAATCATTATGTATCAAACCATTCAGCAATTACCAAACAACTTCGAGATCTTCAAATGATGGGATTGGAACATCTAGCCATCTATCTATCTCTCTAGATGATCTTATTGCATGTACTGACTCTATCGTCGTTATGCAAAATCCCATTATGATATATATAAGAAAGTGGTGATTTGGTGTAGTCTTTACTTGATTTGGTTTCAACAAAACAAAGGAACCACAGTAGGTAGAGAGAGATGGGACACCAGGAGGTCTAAAAACTTATACCTAGCCAAATTAGGTGGCATCTATATATTATGCCAGCTAACTCTAACCCTAAAGGCCTAAACCTATGGAACCTACACTCCACTATAAACAAATTGTTTAGGACCTTACCTTACCTTTTATATATATATATCCAACAACTCAGGAACATTGGCAATATTGGCAAATTCATGTCTCGTTTGTGTTTGTATTCAAGTATGAACGATTATTAATATATTTTTCTATTTAATTTGAAGTATGAAAATTATATTTTGTTGTCTTATTTGACAGTTAACATATGAAAAGAAGTAAACTGGTATTATTTTTATTGGTAATCATTTATTTAAAATATACATTTTGTTTTTTTTTTATTCCATTAAACTATTATTAACAAAAATAATCATATATTATTCAATATATAATTACAAATAAGGTTATAATGATCATTATATTTTTGGTAAGCATTTACCAAAAACATTTGGTAAACATTCTTACCCGGGACAGCACTTACCAGAATAGCACTTACCCGGATCAGCACTCTTATCCGGACAACACTTACCCAATATGATTTAGTAAACAGCCCTTAAGGTAAATTATTGGGCTAAGACAAGACTGCAAAATGACGGATTTACACCTTTACCTAATTTACTCCACTTCACCTCCTTTTTTTATGCCGGCATTTTCAAAGACTAATAATATTTAATTATAATAAATAAATAAATAAAAACAAGGTGAACATAATTTAATTTTAATGAAATAAAGTTGGTGTAGATGCCAGCATCAAATATTGACCTAATTTTCTCCCTTTAAATTTACTTGAACAAATTATTACATCTTTATAAGTAAATATATATATATATATATATATATATATATAGTCAAATTCTGGGAAAAATGCAAAAAAATAAAATAATAAATCGAGTAACATCTTGATAACCGTTCATCTAGACGGTATGCACATGTGCATATAAGCAATTTGTTCAGTATGCACATGTGCCTAACATGCATGTGTGCGTAAGAATCATGAAACAACTTCAATTACTTGTATGCATATGTGCATACCGTCCAGATAAATAATTATCAGTGTATTCCTCAGTTTTTCATTTTTTAGGGTTTTCCTGAACCCCTCTCTCTCTCTCTCTCTCTCTCTCTATATATATATATATATATATATAACAACTATTATCAACGACTGTACAATAAATTGGTAAATGTAGCACATTGATTTCAGTCAGAAGTGTCTTGTGAAATTCATCCTTGTTTTTGAACCAAGAGCACATATTTTCCAGGACAAACAAAGCTTACTAAATAAGTCGATACTTCAGTTGCAAAAAACAATGAGGTCTTATTACTTTTTATCATCAAGATGCTCATTCGTCACTATATGTAACACCTAAATTTTTTAAGAAATAAAATTGCAGGGATCAGTAATGTCAATGATGAAAAGGTAAGAATAGGGACTAAATCATATTTAATCAAAAGATGGTGGATTAAATTGGAATTTTGAGAGGCTACGTTCGAAAATTGGGAGTTGGGAGTTAGGGTTCAAGTGCAACACATGTTACATGGGAGGCTGTGGTTGTGAAATGAGGAGATAAAATGGCAAAATTGTTAGCCACTTCGTTCAGTCTAAAATATAATTACGATAATTATCGAGTTATAATAAAATAATTAATTATTATCTTTATAAAAAAATTATATTATTAAACCAAATATAAATTACTTCGTTATTGAATCTAAATTAAATTATAATAAAAATATTGAATTAAAAAATTACACAAAAAATAAGAATTTTAAATTGTTAATATATTTTTGTCAATTTTTTATGATATATTCAAATTTATATTTTATTCAAAAATAAAAACATTATCGTTTTTTTAAAAATTACATATGATCATATTATAACACCGACTGAGATAAAGAATAAAATAAAATATTAAAATTAAGATGTATCTCATTGCATTACACGAATACCTTCTAATACTCAAAACAGAAAATGACTGTTGACTATGAAATGAAATTATGATATAATTGGTTAAGCTTGTTATTTGAGTTTTAGTGCATGTTCAGATTCCAAACAAAAGTGAGCACAATACATGAAAGTGGCAGATCAGTGTTTTCTACTATTAGGGATGTTCATGGGTTTGGTTGATCGGGTTAAAGACATTTGAACAACCCAACCCAATGCTTGCAATTTGAAAAAGCTCAACCCAACCCAACCCAAACCAAAGTGCAACCCAACCCAACCCAAACCAAAGTGCAACCCCAACCCAACATAACCCGTACGGGTTGGTCGGGTTGATACTTTGATACATTAAAATATTCTTCTAACCTTGAATATGTTATTTTTCTACTCATAATTTCTTTTCATCATCAACCATTTGATACAACTTATCCATACTTCTTATTTATATCACATTCAGTTATTTTTCTCAATTTACATATATATGTTCATAGTTACTGAACATATATACGAATGAGTTATTTAGAGATTGAATAGATTGAAAATATGTATATGAAGAGCGTGCGTGATAGTATAACTGTCTAATGTATATATTAATAGAAATTTAACGATCATATTAAATTCAAAAAATAAAAGGAAATCGGGTTCATCGGGTTGGGTTGGATCGAGTTCAAATAATAGCAACCCAATATCAACCCAATACCTAGAGTTTGAAAATTTTACAACTCGATTAGATATTGGGTTGAGTTATTTCGCATTGGCTTGGGTTGGTTGATCGGGTTTTTGAGCACCCCTATCTACTACCATTATTTGACTGGTGTTATAAAACATTATTTGAAATGTTTGTCAAAATTACAATTCAATCCCTCCATTACGGCCAAATTACATTCAACCCCGTCAACCTTCTACACATCAAACCCATATTTTGATCATTTTCGTTTCTTTTGGTCCTTTTTTTTGGGTATTCCAATTAATACAACTGAATCAAATATTAAATAGAATACAACAACAGCTACAAATGTTGATAACAATATTTAACTACTAAATCAGTGAAACACCATTTGCCTATATACCTTCATGAACTTTATCATCTCCATCATTACTCCCGTCTTTAATTCCATCACCTCCCATCTTCTTATGTATGATAAACTTCACGAGCCCTTCGAGCACAACCTCAACGTCGTTGGACTTCATGAGTTCCTCTGCCACCTCTGCTGGTGTAACCTTGGTGCAATTAATCAGTTTTTCGATTTCACTAAAATATCGGTGGTTGTGAATATTGAGATAGTTGGCTGCTAGTGTTTTGAATCCGTCAAAGGTCAAGTATGACATGAGAATGTGCATGTCCATTCGCCCTGGTCGAAGCAATGCTGGGTCGAGTCTTTCTTTGTGGTTCGTGGTGAAGATTATGATGCGTTCATCTCCACAACAAGACCATAGTCCGTCTATGAAATTTAGGAGGCCAGATAAAGAGAACTACAAAAGCAACAAGAAGTGAAATGAAGTCAATTTTAGCCAACTTGATTGTTTACAGTAATTTAAAGAAATTGTTTGACTGGTTGATTTTTCATTAAGTCATGTACGAATAAGCTGAATAAATCATCTTGACTCTGACTTGTTAAATTGCTAAAAAATATGCTAAATAAGGGCCTGTTTACGAAACGCTTATCCGAGTAAGCGCTTATCAAGTCACGTTACCTCAATAGATGAATATGGTAAGGACCAAGAATCTTACCCGATAAGAGCGAGAAAATAGACCGAGAGTCTTACCTGGTAAGTGAGGGAGACGACTCTTACCATGTTAAGCGCTTACCGAGTAAATTGTTGCATACGATGTCGTTTTGATGGACTAAGATTTTATCCAGTAAGTAAATAATAGTTTTAAATTTTATCGTTAAACACTTATCAAGTAAATGTTTGGTAAACGGCCCTTGGGACAAAAATAGGTGGATTGGGTCCATAAACAACCCATTTTCATGGAAAAATACAAATTTTATATAACAAGACAAAATTGGTAAAAATTGGTAAAGTCTTTGATTCCACTTGCAAATTCGAGGACCAAAATAGATGAAACAACTCAAAAGGTTAAATAGAAACAAACCTGCGGATCTCGAACGGGCTTAACGTCGGAAAATTTGGACGGAGGGACTCCCTTCCGATCAGGCAACTGTATGCTACAATCGATATCTTCAATCACCAATATCGATCGATTGGATGTTCTTAATACCATTTGCTTCAAACTCGAATCACTTCTAACATTCGTCAACTGTAAATCGTAGATATCAAACTTCAAGTAATTCGCCATGGCTGCAATCAAGCTCGATTTCCCCGTCCCCGGCGGACCGTACAGTAGATACCCTCTCTTCCACGCCTTCCCTACTTTCTTATAGAAATCTCTTCTCTTCAAAAACAGATCCAAATCGTCGATAATCACCTTCTTCATCTTCGGATCCATGGCCAATGTATCGAACGTTGATGGATGGTCTAGATTCACCGATTCCTTGTAACCGCCTGGTCCGCCGTCGTAGGATTGTAGGCTATGGATCTTCACGACTTTCTTCTGGTTTTCAAGTTCCTGAAATTTGTCAATTACCGACGGCAAGTAAACATTTATTATAATATCTTTGTACTTTTTGTCGAATTTCAGTTCGATGTATTTTGTCTCCGGCGTAAAGTTGCCGCCGGAGCTTCTCTTTCCACCGAGAACAAAATCGTCATCTCCGCCGCCGCCATGCCTTTGCTGTAGCTTCTGACGGACGTACTTCCATGTAAGCGAGATTCCATCGAACGAATCTACTAACTCCTCCGACTCTGCAAACTTGATTTTGATGTGATTTTCTTTGACGTTTTTGGTGATCCTATAATCATCAACAATTAATATAAACTTTTACCCCAAATTAACAACAATTGTTGCTAGACCTCCAAATCAAATCCTATTTATCGGATCAATCACCTGAGACGGTCGACATCAGGACTGATCATGGTGCAGAGATAGGCTTCGGCGGCATCGAAGACATGATTTCCGGTCATGCCGTCTTTCTCCTCAAAGATGAGAGTTAGTTTTGAGGATTTAGGTTTCCAGTATAATTGGATGGCTTCGATGACGTAGCGACGGAGTTGTGGCGGGAAGAACTGGTCGAAAATTGTACGGAAGAGGATGATGGAGGTGGACAATGTGGCATACGCCGATAGCAGCGACGACGGCGTCGGCATCGCCGGGAAGATTTGAGACGCCATTATTATTGTCTGGTTTTGTGAGATACTGAGGAATGAGAAGGTGTGTGTTGTTTTTATCTGTTAAAGGTTTTGTGTTAATTGCAATATATTTTTTTTTCATTAATTTGGATATCATTCGAATAATCCTAGACGACCACCTATTTTACAGATAACTCGAAGTCTTCATTTAAACCTCCGTGGCCATAAGGGTATTTTTATTTCTCCTTGAATTTGAACTTAAGACCTCCTGATACTTTTAAACTTTGGAACCAAGCTTAAACCAATCAGACATCACTCGTGGTTGTTAATTGCAATATCTATACTATCTTATTAAGCAAATTTAACAAAAGTCTTAAAGTTTTAAAATACTAAATGACCAACATACTCTTTATACTCACTTTTTCACCCCTCCTCTCCTTACATACACTCTCACAACCGATTTTTTATAATTATAATTTTAAATTTACATTTTATACCCCTATAATTAATTAATTAATTTACTTTACGTCTTTTACTTTTAAATGTTTCATTTTAAACCTTTATCAAATTAACATACATAATCGTATCTATACTATCTTATTAAGCAAATTTGATAAAAGTCTTAAAACTTTAAATGACCAAAATACCCTCCTAATACACTAACAACACTACTCTTAAAATATAATCTTCCTCAACACGCCTCCCCTTGCTTCAGTCCTTCACGCTCCCCAAACCGATGATTCCCAAAGCATCGATTCCCATCCTCGAGTACACTCCATCTCTCATCCCAAAACGACGATTCCAACTGGATTCCATGATTTAAACTCTGATGCGGCGAAGAATGAAGAGATGCAGGGATGTAAATTGAAGAGGAAAATTTACTCTCAAACCTCTATTTCTTCTCCCTTCTCAAGGTGACGCTTCAAAGTTCTCCCTCAATCGCCCTGCATCTCTCGCTCTCGCTTTGCATCTCTCGCTCTGTCTCTGCATCTCTTCATTCTTCGCCCCTGGTACGATTCTCTAATATGAGCCATAAATTTTTGGGAATTGCTTCTTGATTGTATTCAAGGTTGCTTTGGGTTTTAGGGTTTGAAGCAATACAATTTGGGTTAAAAAAATTTTAATTTTTTCCCCTTTGTTTTGGGTTTGAGGGCTTGAAGCAATACAACAGTTTGGTGTAAATCGAACACCAATCTTACCATTTTCTCAATCGTTGGCTTTCTCTGGGTAAGATGTTTATAATATTTTTGTTTATTTTCTATAAGTTGTTGTGATTTGAAACATTCAATGGGTTTGGTGCTATTACAACAGGGTAAGTTGAATACTGGCTCTCACTCTCGCCCTTGATCTGCATCCCCCGATTTTCGCTCCTGGTACGACTTGTAACTTTTTTTGTTATTGATTCTTTATTTTATTGATTTTTTTCTTGAAATCAAAATTAATGGAATCCATTCTTGTGTTTCTATTAAGTTTTTGATGGAATCGCCAATTTCTCCTGGGTACCCTGATTTGTTAACATCGGTAGCCAACTTACATTGTTAGGGTGGAGATTGGCAAGAGGAGGTACCCATCGATACCTTTACCCTTCCTTAATTCAGTTTGGTGTTTTTATGATGCCATTGTTTGTTATATTCCTTCGATGGTTGGATTGTGTTCTTTTTTACCTGAAAAATCAATTTCTTAGTTTGTCTCTGCTGGTCGATTTCATTGGTTCATTGGTGTTTAAGCTTGACAAATTTTGAGTATTTGATTTGTATATGTTTGGTCGGTTCTTGAGTTTCGGATGAATCCCACTCCTTCACAAACATCTTCACAAAACATGTCTGCTTTTTAAATTTGTTGATGAGCGTGGTTCAATTGGTTTCATTTCATTTTGAGTCGAGAGGTAATGTGAAGTTCAATTACTCCACCGCCCCCCCCCCCCCCCCCCCAAATTCAAACATTTTCAGAAGATGAGAAAGAGTCCATGTTGTGAATTGCTAATGCTTAATCCAATATTTAGGGGTTGTTCTCCTTATTTTCTTTCCCATGGATGACAAAACCCAAAACTGAATTGGTGGACTGTGCTTCTTGTTGAACTGCGTAGTACTTTGTTCTCTTTTTCTGTAACAACCCTTAGATTCCAAATACATAAAATTCACATCATCATACTCATAATACTAAAATAGTATCATTACAAAACATAGAATATCAAAATGTATCTTTAATACATAAACGAGTAAACTATTATCATCATTCAGACTTTTCCCTTGCCTTTATCTTTTAACATACGCTGATCTGCAAAACARGTTAGTCCAACATCTGAGCGTTAGACCAAAAGTCCTAGTGAGTGTATAATCTCATACAACAAAATATTTTCCAAACAATCAGTTTAGAATCAAACCTGTTTCGAAACATATCATATTTATATTTCTCGCGGTTACACCGCCATTACATTCTCTTATCTCTTTCTCACTCACGGTTACACCGCCATTATATCTCACTCGCAGTTACACTGCCATTATATCACTCTCGCGGTTACACCGTCATTATATCACTCTTGCGGTTACACCGCCATCTCACTCGCAGTTACACTGCCATTTTATCACTCTCGCGGTTACACCGCCATTATATCACTCTCGCGGTTACACCGCCATCTCACTCGCAGTTACACTGCCATTTTATCACTCTCGCGGTTACACCGCCATTATATCACTCTCGCGGTTACACCTCCATTATATCACTCTCGCGGTTACACCTCCATCTTACTCGCAGTTACACTGCCATAATATCACTCTCGCGGTTACACCGCCATCTCACTTCACTTCAAAAACATTTCCCAAAAACATTYTATTTTCATCCGGACTTGAAGTCCGGTCAAAAACTTGTCCGGATTAAATATCCGGTCAATATACTTTGAAAATAACATCTTGGTCCGGATTAGAAATCCGGACAACACTTCACTTTCTTTGTCATCCGGTATAGATTAAACCGATCAATACACTTTTCAACCTTTGACCGGTTTAAACAATATCCGGTCACCTCTTGTCCGGTTTAAACAATATCCGTCCGGTCACCTCTTGTCCGGTTTAAACAATATTCGGTCACCACTTGAACGGTTTAGACAATATTCGGTCAAGGCAGGAGTGGTTTACTTATCCGGATATCAATCCGGATAACACTTGACCGGATTAGACAAGAATTTCCATAAAAGTGCAACAAAATTCATAATAACCAGTTTCAAATGCTTAACAAATTGTATGTAAGCAATTCATATTCAAAGCTCTAAACACTCACCTTTTAGAAATGAGATTCAAAACCTTTTGAGACCTTTTTCTTCTTCTTGATGTATAACCTTCAGAATCTTCAGAGAGTTTGCAAAATAGAAAGTATGTGTATGTGTTTTTGTGTGACTTTTACTTCATTAAAAAATATATATATATACATGCACCAAGAAAGAGGAAAGTGAGGCGGTTCATGAACCGACTCCCCCTCTTTTTTTTTTATTAAAATAAACTCATACACATATATCCATATCATACACACTCATTACATACACATACATATCATACATACATAAATCATATATATATACATATATAATTAAATAATATATATATATATATATAACCAAAATAATAACCAGACTATTACAATATTCCYTCCTTAAAAGAATTCCGCCCCGGAATTCACTTAAGCAAAAAGGTAGGGATATTTCATTCGCATTTCCGATTCTGGTTCCCAGGTGGCATCTGATCCTTTATGATAACGCCACTAAACCTTTACTAACCTAATTTCTTTGTTTCATAACTTCTTCACCTTATAATCAGTAATCTGCTCAGGGGTTTCTTCAAAACATAGCTTTTCATCTACTTTAATCTCATGTAATGGTACTGCCACATCTGGACTTATTAGGCACTTCCTCAAATTTGACACATGGAACGTGTCATGAATTCCACTTAATTCTAAAGGAAGTTCTAACTTATAAGCCACTTCCCCAATTCTTCCAATAATAGGGAATGGTCCAACATATCTTGGACTTAACTTCCCCCTTTTTCCAAAACATATCATTCCTTTCCAAGGTGATACTTTCAACATTACTTTATCACCTATTTGGAACTCAATCGGCTTCCGACGTTTATCTGCATAACTTCTTTGTCTATCTTGTGCCGCTTTCATTCGTTCTCGTATTACACCAATTTTATCCGCAGTTTGCTGAACTAACTCAGGCCCAGCTAACTGTCTTTCACCTATTTCATTCCAGTACAAAGGAGTTAGACATTTTCTTCCATACAGAACCTCAAAAGGTGCTGCCTGAATACTTGAATGATAGCTATTGTTGTAAGCAAATTCAACTAAAGCCAAATGACTATCCCACGACCCTCCGAAATCAATAACACAAGATCTCAACATATCTTCTAAAGTTTGGATAGTTCGTTCACTCTGTCCATCAGTTTGAGGATGATAAGTTGTACTCAGCTTTATTTGTGAACCCATTTCTTTCTGAAAACTCTTCCAAAACATAGAAGTGAAACGACTATCTCTATCAGAAACAATTGATAACGAAACACCATGTCGTGTCACTATCTCATCKAGATACAACTTTGCTAATCTCTCCATCGAATATGACTCTTTCATAGGTAAGAAGTGTGCAGATTTAGACAACCGATCTACTATCACCCATATTGCATCATACCCCTTCGACGTTCTCGGCAATTTGGTTATRAAATCCATAGTAATATGATCCCATTTCCAAACCGGAATTTCTAAAGATTGCAACTTACCATAAGGACGCTGGTGTTCAATYTTTACTTGAAGACATGTCAGACACTGTTCAACATGTTTAGCAATATCTTTCTTCATACCCGGCCACCAATAATGTTGCCTCAAATCTCGATACATTTTATTTGTACCTGGATGTATCGTAAAACGTGATTGATGAGCTTCATTCAAGATACGCTTTCTGAGATCACCATAACATGGTACCCAAGTTCTGTTCTGAAACTTCCATAATTCTGTATCATCTCTTACCAAATCAGATACTAGTCCACCCAATCTTTCCCGTTTGATCTTATCCTCTTTCATTGCCTCATGTTGAAATTCTCGTAACTC